ATGATAGGTGATCTGAGAAAACAATTCAGATAGTCAGTTTTCACCTTCCTGTGCCCATGTCATAGTTTCATGAGTAAAAAGAAAATTGAGGATGGTGGCCTGATTTTAATTCCCTGTAGATAAAGGTTCATGGAGACCTGCCCTACTTCTTGTAACTATTATTATACTTATTTTTTTAAGTCATTAGCATCTTGGCATACTTTTATTTCAGTAAAATACTGTCATAGATTTCAGGCTTCTAGAGCCTATTGGGAATTGCACATTGATTTTTATATTTCTTTTGGAGAACAGATGGACCATATGTGTGTGTGCATATGTGCTTTTGTTTCTCTCTGTCACTGTCCTGAAGCTCACCTCCACTGGTCTCTCCTGACCTTGCCTTATGGCCCCTGGAAGGGAAGTCACTTAACACAAACAACATGGTGCAAGGCCATAAAAAGGAATGAGGCTAGATCCTTGCTGCGGAAGGAAGAGCTTTAGAAATATGGTTAGTGAGAGAAGCCAGACACAAATGGTCACTGTGTGATGTGTATTTATGTGAAATGTGCAGAGCAGGCAAATCCATGGGCACAGATATCCAACTAGCAGTTCTGATCCTCCCAAGAGGAGGGGTAGAATGACTGTGAGTAGGAGGAAGGTTTTTCTTTAGTGTGATAGAAGTGTTTTGTGGGTGGTGGTTCCTTAAGATGTCATTGTACTAAATACCACCAAAGTGCACATTTTCAAAATGGTTAATTTTATGTTAAGTGATTTCATTTTACTTCAACTAAAAACAAAGTGCAATCTTGAGGATGCTGGCGTATATTTAGTTATAGCGAGCTCCAATTGGAATGTTCTTGTTGTATTGGGGTAAATGAGTCTTGAAGGCAGGATTTCCTCTTGTGAGAAAAATATTTTTAAATTTGACATCATTTTTAAGGAGGACTCTTTTAATTCCTAATGCTCTTCTCGTAGGCTAAGAATGTAATTCCCAAAATGACTGACTGCCTTTGAGGAACACACTTTGAGATATTATTTGCTGTTTATCTCTATGGTTTCTTATATGCAATTTAAAAGATCCATGTGATCATATGTGCTTCAGTGGGGGAACCACTTGCTAGACAAGGATGAGGACCAGGCTTTGGATCCCCACAGCCTACAGAAAAGCCTAACTAAATCCAGTACCTATACCTGAAATCCCTGTGGTCCCAAAGCTCATTTGTAATCCCAAGTACTCTTTGTAGCACCCATTTGTGATCCCAGCACTGGCCCACAGTCCCTGCACTCATAACTAGTCCCAGCACATTCACTGTCTATAACTCCAGGATCCAACATCTTCACACAGATATAGATGCAGGCAAAACACAAATGTACATTAAAAAAAAAACAACTAAAAACTCTTCAGAGTATTTTTCAAATGTGCAGAGCTGTTCTGAAGCTCTGTAAAGTAATAAACAGGGTTTAGAAAGAACAAAGTGGGAATGACTTTAGAATGGGCCTTAACAGAGGGTATTCCTGAGTTTGGACATTTAGCTACATCTGTGACTTCTCAGCCATGTTGAACAGTAACTGGATGAAGACTTAGAGGGTAGAAAAATAGGTGAATACCGGATCAGGCATGCTCAGATAGAGCATCAGTGTGCTGAGATGTCACCAGGAGTGTAGAAAGAGTACCTACTTAAAGTCCTGTAGCCCCAGCATTAAGGAGGCTGAGGCTACTCTGCATCATTAATTTAATGAGATGCTGTCACTGAAGAAAAGTAGAACGGGGCAGGGATGCTGCTTACTGGTAGAGAACTTGCATAGCGTGTGCAGGTTCCTGAATTCCAACCCACACAGGAAAACTTCCAAAGAAATCTTTCTGAACTCTAATATCCTTGTGAAAATATTTTACTTCCTTCTGGTATTTTGCAATAAAGACAGAAAGGAAGAAAACAAATGTGGCAGAGAGATTGTATGATTACTGTGTTAATCTGTTTTATCAACTACTACAAAGTTCTGTGACCATATATGGTCCATCCATCCTCCTACTCTCTCCCTCCCTCTCCTTCCTTCGGATTACATTTACTGTAATTACCGCGCGTCCAACCTAGAGTGCAGAGATCAACATGGGATAGTATTCTTCCTACTAGCAGGAGACATAAAAATGATTCTTTGAATAACGTAACGGAAGGAAGCACAGCATTCAGTGGAAAGGTTGGGGGTTACCTTATGCTCCAGGAATTCTGTGTCCAATTTAGGGGAAATAACTAAATAGTAAAAATACAATGAGTTTCTTAGTTGTTTTTCTATTGCTCTGATAAAACACCATGACCAAGGCAAACTTGTACTTGTACTGAACCTGGAGCTACTAGACTGTCTGGCCAGTGAGTTCCAATGATCTGCTTGTCCCTGCCTTACAGCATTGGGGTTACAGATGTTTAGTGCCATGCACAGGTTTTATATGGATTCTGGAGAATCTGAACTCTGGTCCTCATTTTCGTAAAGCAAGCACTTCATCCACTGAGCCATCTAGCCAGCCCTGAGAACATCAACTATTGATGATTCTTCTGTTTATGGTACTAATCATGGGGAAATCAGTCTAAACCAGCTATTAAAGGACTGGTTTCTCATTTTAATTTACTGTGTTCAGCAATCAACTAATTATTTTTGACAGGTTGTATAACCAGAAGAATGCCATTAACCAAAGTTATAATTCCTCTTTGTGTTTGTGTTTGTGTGTGTGTTGATCACACACAGATGATAAAATCAATTAGGCTTACAGAGTTTCATAACATATATAAAAGATAGTTTTCAGTTTTGAAACTCTGATTTGTAAGTTACCATCTGTCTTGGACCTAGGAAAAGGGATTCAATTCTGAAGTTTTTTTTATTTTTTTCAGAACAGCTTGTAATAGGAACTGTTAGTATATTAATTGCTTATTGAATTATGATAGGGTTTAATCTTTTAATTTACAGGCAATTTGGAGCTTATTGTGGTGACAGCTGCTTATATTTTGATACTTTGTAGCATTTAGCTATTTCATCATAAGGCCTATCCCCCACCCCATAATTTACAACATACTCTGAGTAGTCATTTGCTTCCCCCTCAGCTTCCTTCAAAGAGTTTTGTGCTTTTCCACCACATTTTTCCTTTTTTAAAAGATTTTTTATCTTTATTTGATGTATATGAGTGTTTGCCTGCATGTGTGTATAGGTGTCACATGCATATGCAGTACCAGAGGAGGCCAATATTCTCAGGAAATAGGGTTACAGATAATTGGAGCTGCCCTGTGGGTGTTGTGAATTGACCTCAGTCCTCTGCAAGTGAGCAGAGTACTCTTTAATTGCTGAGCCATCTCTCCAGTCCCTCTTTCCCACTGCATTTATTTGTTTTTATTTTATAAGCATATTTGTGCCTCGTTCAATGTGGTTTAGTGCCTTTTAATTTCCATTCAGAGATTTTTGTAGGTGAATTTTTATTTTCTTAGATTCTTATGATTTTTTTTTCTTTTTTAATATTGGAATGAAACTTGGAGGTCTGTGAACTTGACTGTCAAATCTCTTTCATTTCCTTCTTTTAAACAGCAGAACTATAAACATAACTTTGTAGAACTGATTTGTTTGAGTTTCCTGAAAACAGTTTATGATGGGTAATAAGCAGCACCCTTCCTCACAGCTTCACTGGTGGCTTTGAGTTACAACAAACCTACACCTTTCAGCTATTGCTCAAGATGATCAAGTAAGAATTTGAGAGGCAGGAATTTAATTTCCTTGGTTCTTGCATTTTCCAATGGTTTTGGATAGTTTGAACTCCAGGAGCTGGGTTCATTTATAACTAAAGAAATTTTACAAGGCTAGGAGTACATCTTGTCAGGCAATTATTGGTTAGCTGATTTGTGTTCCTAGTTACTGAAAAATAACAAATAAATAAGTTTTTAAAAAATTTTATGTGTATGTGTGCATTTCTGCATGTATGTATGTATGTGTACCACATTCATGTGTCATGCTTATAGAGGCCAGAGAGTATTGGATCTCCTAGAACAGGAGTTACAGTTATGAGCCAGCTCACCATATGGAATTTGGGGATTGTATCTGGGTCTTCTGCAGAAGCAACCAGTGTTCCTCACCACTGAGCCCTCTTTCTAGCCCCTTAAAGAAAATGTGGGTATGATGTACAGTATGATGTTTTCATGAACTAGGAGCCTAGCTTCTTTGGAATTACTTCAGGGTCCTGCAAAATGGCTCAGAGGGTTAATGTACCCAGCAGCAAGCTTGTTAACTAGCCTCAGTTGGATACCAGGGATACACATGGTGGAAGGAGAAACCTGACTTTGGAAAGTTATCTTCTGGGGGCCTCAAGTGCACACACAGATAGGTACTAAGTAAATGTAAACAAGTAGGTAAAAATAGAGAAGTAAATTCAGGCAGAGCCCTTTGAAATGGCACTTTGTAAAAAACATCACTCGAAAGGTTGAAATGGAGCTGGGGTATGATTGAACTCTTGCCTGACTCCTAAAAGGCTCTAGGTTTTACCCCTAGCACCGAGGGAAACAATAAAGACATTTATTAGTTGATAGTGCCTTTGCTTTTAGAGGAGCCAAAGATACAATATGAGCATGCATGCCGATGCACCAGCAAACATGCTAGACTTACTCTAAATGTTATGCATGTCTTTACCTGAGGGTGTGCACAGGTTGCATAAACTACTGTCATAAAACTTAGGTGCTTCCTAGGACATTATTATTAAGTGAAAGAAAGCAGCACCAGCAGAATCTGTGCTAGTAGTGATTTTTATCATGTCAGAATTGCTACATGTATAATAATTCCTGACCAGCTATTTTAATCCCTATTCCATTTTGTATTCTATAAATTTAGAACCTGTATCTTAATCTAAAAGGTGAAAAAAAAAAGTGAATGAATAAAATGTAAAATTTGACTTAGGATGAGAAGGATCTGTAAAGGGACAATAGGAGTGAGAAGGGCATGGATTCATGGATTTTTATGACAGTTTTTTCTCAAGTATTTCTGTTTCTCTGCAGGGTGGTCCTGGTCTTTGTGGGTACCTCTCAAGGTCCATGATTGGATGCTGGGTGGCCTATAGCTTCAGAGATCTACAGATGCACTCACTGTGACGGTAAGCCCCTCCTTCATGGGGTCCCTCTGTTTTGTGCCTGCCATCCATTCTGCAAAGCTCGGTACTTGATTTCAAATTATATTTTAGGAAGAAGTTGCAGGTCTTTCTGCTGAAATTGAAAGGCGGGGGGGGGGGGGGGGGATAGAAGGAAGGAAGGAATATCAGTAACCTACTATGGTTTCCATGGTTACTTTTCACCTTTTATGACTGTCTAAAAGTTTTGGATCTTGGCTGAGTTAAAATAAGCTTCTCCAAGTGTCACTATAAGGGGACAACACCTTCAATAATCAGTCTTTCTTGTTAATATCATGCAATAGCTACATGTAAGCTGCAACTTTTATTGGGATGGGGCACAGGAGTATAGCTTTTATTTGGATCCCACATGTTGAATGTTCTGCTTCATTAGTTTTTGAATATGATTTCTATCTGTCTACAGATTGACTTGCTGGCTGACTTTGAAATTTTGTAGATTACTCTGCATAAATCTAGTCAGACCAGAATTTACCCGAGAGCAGACAGTGGTGTGCGCACCAACTGATCAAGTTAAATGCACATCCAAAATAAAACTGATGTTGTAAAGTTTTTACCTTGGAGTTAGAGTGCACTTCAACTGTAGAACATTTGCTTACCATACATGAAGCCCTGGGTTTCATCCCTAGCACTGTAGTGAAAAAAGCAAGTAAACAAACAAATAAATAAATAATTGTTCCTTTTATTTTAGAGTTTTATTTACATATTTTTATATGTTCAGCTTTTTTTTAATACCTTTTAAAGTAACTGATTCACTTTAAAACTCCACAAAGCTTTCCTAATTTTAAACACAAGATGACCCCTTACAAGCATAAGGACCTGGATTTAGAACCCATCCATGTAAGAGTCACATGAGGCAGTTGTGTGTGTAATTCCACATGAGCTTGACCTACATATGCTCATGCATATCCACATGTGCACCACACACACCCATGCACTAAATAGACCTTTGGAAAATATTAAAATGTCATTTTCAGAAGTTAAAGCAGAACTAGTGAAAATGGGTTTAACTTTTAATAAAACGAGATACATAATATTTCAGGCAGTTTTGGATTTCCTTTTCTGTTTATTAGTTGATGGGCATCTTTTGTCTGCTCTAGAAAATGAGGTCCTGAACACTTCAATGCAAGTGTTTGTGTGGACATGCTTTGTTTCTTTGGTGTATTTATTTCAGGGTAGGGTTTCTGGACCATATGATAGTTTCCAGATCTGGAATAGTGGAGAATTATTAATTTTTTTAAGTGACTGTTGTGTCCATTAATATTTGGACCTTAAAAATTAATCTATTATGCGTGGGGATGTTTTGCCTGCATGTATGTTTGTACAACACATCTGTTCCTGGAGCCCACTAGAAGAGTACATCAGGGCCCCTGAAACTAGAGTTAGAGATCGTGAGCCGCCATGGGGGTGCTGGGAATAGAACCTGGTCCTGACAGAGCAGCCAGTCCTCTTAACTGTTGAACCACCTCTTCAGCCCCCTGTTTTGGGAACTTTTGGCCTGTATTTTGATTAGTCAAGGAAAACATGGGGAAGGGAAACTATTCTGCCTCAGTGTTTTGATTAGGTGTTGGATTGAGTATGTAGTGATCAGCATCCCTTGTTCATAGTCCTTTCTTGGACCTCTTGTTAAAATAGTTGGGTGTGTTTGTGAGGTTTGTCCACTTAGAGATGTCACTGTAAACATCATTAGGCAGGATGGGCCGAAGCAGTTGTTTTCTGTAGTAAAAATGGAAAAAACCTGCCTAGGAAAGACCAAGAGAGATTGGGTGGATGGGGTTATTGTTTTAGTCTGTGTTTTGTTAGTAAAAGGAAATATGTGAGGCTGGCTACTTACTAAAATAGAGAGGTTTGTTTAGCTCACAGTTCTGGAATCTTGAAGTTCAAAACAGTATAGGTCTGGCTCATGCAGGGGCCCCTGTAGCTGTATTAACCTCATGGTCATCATATCACACTGGTAGGAATGCATGCAAGAGGGGATTACATCACAAAACCAGGAGACAGAGGAGGGGAGGGACCAGTCTGTGACCTCAAGAGGGCTTGCCTCTTATATGTCTACTACCACACTGCTTCCAGCATCTGAATCCTTGTGGGCACACTCAAACTATTGTATTCAGTCCATAGTGGTCAGCAAGCATTTCTAATGGTTTATGTTTTATGGGCCAAGTGATAGGTTGAAGCCATTTGAACTTGCTGAAGGTCAATCAGCTTGTATATATAGACTCTGGCAATGGTTGCTAACTTTGAGGTATAAGAACACAGTGGTTTCCCAATTGTTTAAGCTGTAGCCCTTTGAGTTGGAGCTAAAATCTCCACTGTCAGGGACATGCTCCACAAAGGCCCTTGATGGGAATAACTTACAACAAAGAAGGTGCTGCCTTCTGCTATCAGGACTGAGATTGAGGAACCCTGCTCACTGCTGCTGTTGCCTTTTTATTTTATTTTGCATTTCAGATATTATCAGTCTTGGGGCTGGGGAGATGGCTCAGATGGTAAAGTGCCTGTCAGGTAAGCATAAGGACCTAATAACACCCAAGTCGGAATTGGGTGCAGTAAATACTGACTCCAGTGGTTTGAATGTATCCCAAGGGTTTAGGTGCTGGCAGCAGTGTGGTAGTATATATTTAAGAGGCAAGGCCTACCAAAGTCACAGACTGACTCCTCCTCTCCCCTCCTCTGTCTCCTCATCTTGTGGTGGTCCTGTGTGCCCTCTTGTAAACCTAGTTCTGAGGCAGGGGAGGGACTGGTAGATTCCCAGAGGCCCACTGACCAGCCAGTCTACCCCAAATGGCAACCTCCAGGTTCAGTGAGATACCCAGTGGCAAAAATTAAGGCAGAAAACAATAGAAATTGACATCCATTCTCTATGTCTGGCTTCTGAATTTGCACATATGTGCATGTGCACCCCTATATCTCATATGTGCCTAGACACATACTCCACACAAATACCACACAAAGTATTACCAGTCTTGAACCAGGTATGGTGATATATTCCTTTAATCTGAGGACTCGGGAAGCTGAGGTAGGAAAATTGTATATATAACAGGACCCTGTCTCAAAAAAAAAAAAAAAAACAAGCAATAAAACAAAACCACAAAAATGTTCAGTCTTTTGCCTGTGGAATTTAAACTGGTAAACACTTAATCACCAAATGTAATTGCCTGTGAATGCAGGTAGAGAGAAGAGGCTCTTCAGATATTGTGATGTGAATGCCCCAACAAGTTTGTGTATTTGAATACTTGGTCCCCAGATAGTGAGTGGTATGGTTTTGAGAGGTTGTGGCCACTTTGGGAAGTGAGGCTTAGGTAGAGGAGGTAGGTCACTGGGGCCAAGCCTCAACAATTATAGCTGAGCCTGATTCCCAGACAGGCTTATGTCTGTCTGTTGGTATCTTCCAAGCCTCCTGATTTGCCAGTCGTGGGGGACAGAAATCTGTGTTTAGAAGAGAAGATTTTAAGAAAATCTTGCTGCTTGACTTGTGCACGTCCTCCACTTGTGTGAAGTGGACTTCCTTAGCAGATGTCTGCTCTTACCAGGTAAACGTGTCCAAGAATGTTGCCTTCTGGGTCTGCCTCCTTGCATGCCTTTTGTGTAACATTAGCATCTGTCATGGGTGTGTACATGGGGTCTAGAAGAAAATCTTGGGAGGGCAAATTTTAATTAACGTAAATAAGGCAGCCAGGCACAATACAACTTTCTTGGCATGCCTTTTGGTGAGGATAATCTTATGTGAAAAGCAGAGTTCTTTTTCTAATAGAAGACTCCCTTCTTCTCCTTTCTCAATCCTATACTTAATCTTTGCTGGATTTTAATTATATTTTAATAAATATAAAACAGTTCATGTTTGTAATAGAAAATGGAAAATACAAAAAGCACCACACAGTGATGTAAATTAATGTAACTATCCCTAGAGCTAGTTATGAATGAAGATGAGAGTGTAAACACACAAAGCAAAGCAAAATGTAGTACCATGCACACACCTCCTTTTTTTTGTTGATTGACCGATTTGTGTGGGGGTGGGGTGGGGTATAAAGGTGTGCACCCATGACTGGGAGTGTGCTTGTTCTTGATACAAGCAGGCTCTCTCAGAGGCCAGAGGTATATGTCAGGTGCTGCTTTCCCCACTGAGCCACCTCCCTAACCCACACCTACTACTTTTTTCCCTGCACAACACTAGCACAGGCATTTTCTCTTAAATGTTGTTTTAATGACAGCATTTTATTCCACTGTGCTATTTCTTCCCAACCTTTCCTTGTTTGCAAATCTTCCACAATTGGGATCAAATTATAAAATGAATATGGCCACCTTTTTGGTTTTATCTCCTTCCCTCATCCCATTTTTAATCTGGTGTACAAAGAAACATCTACCGTAGAACAGGAAAGACAGAGAGGACTCAAGGATCATTGTATTAGTTCATTTTTTGTGGCCATAAGAAAATTCTGAAAGCCAGCTCCCTATAATTAAGAGTTTTGTCTTGAAATACTACCGATTATGGAATGCACAGGAATTTAACTTAGAGACTAAAGATGTTATGGAGAAAGAAGCCAGGGAGGTAAGAGCTGCTGAGACTAATATAGCAGAGAGAAGTACCCTTATGAAAGGTTATTTAGTATCCATACATGCATGTAATGCATTTGGAGCCTGTCCTTGCTGGAAGGGGTACTTTGAGACCATTTTCATCCACTGGTTGGCTATCTTGGGTCCTCGTAAAAACAGGACCCCTAAGTCTGAGTCTCAGTACTTGTTCCTTTGTACTGCAGGTTCTTTTAGCATAAAGAACAGCAGGCTAATAGCAGGAACAAGATACTTTCTTACCTCCCTGAAAAACACAGTTTGTCATGGCCATAAAAGTTCTCTGCATCATGAGACAAACTGTGAAAGGAGAATTTTTGCCATATAATGACATATCAGATAACCCACGTTAAAATTTGAGCACCTTGCACCATCTTCTCCACTGCAGAACAAGGTTGCCCTCTGGTGGCAAGTAATGAATTTACAGCAGCACCATCTCTCTGGGATAGGGAAGTCTCCAGTTTCCATTTTTAAAGATATTACATAGCAATTTAGAGCTTGTTGATTTTGCGCAATCGTCTTGTTTCCCAACGATTAATAGCTATCAAATTCTGTTAAGCACACCTGAAAACTGATAATAAATAAATCACTTAACGGTCTGTGGATACTAAATCTTGACCTGTTTTGTGAAGGAACAGAAACTTCTGCAACCTTAAAGTCTTGAAAAGAAGACAGACAAACAAAAACAGTAGGTATAATGTTCTCTTAATTTCTTGAAGTCTTTAACACCAAATTACTATTTCTGTTGATACTTCTCTCTAGTGCAGGAGGTTCAGAGATGCCATCAACCTTAATGCCATTTTCTTTTTTCTTTTGTTTTGCAGGACAGGAAAGGGGGGAGAGGGGATTGATAAGTTGTGGATTCAACTACAAATGGAATTTTTTTATTTCCTTTCCTGTACAATTCCAACTCCAAAGACATCACATCAACTACTTGAAGGTGTCTCTATTGAAAACTAGTTCAGGCGAGAAAATAAACTCAGATGAAACACTCTTGTCTTCCCCATTCTGTTTGAGGCTGGGCATATATCTATGAACATAGCAAATGTTCTCTTTTATTCATAACTAGGAGGGTTGCAGAAAGTTTCCTGGAGCCTATCAGAGCTCCAGGCTGAAGTGGGTGCCATCCTACTAACTAGTCAAGTCTTAAAGGAGAGCTGGGTTTCCACTTGCAAGTGACCGGATACCAGATGGCCAGCATGGGTTTCTGGACTGCTGCTTCCTTTGCTGGGCTTTGTCAGCCTCTCCTTTCCTGAGTGACAATCAGTGATGTGAACTGTTACTAGGAAACAGGGCCTGAGTCTACGTGATGACTGTGGTATGTTTTCCTGACTCATTCACGAGGCCCCTTTGAGTAATTTTAGCAACATTTTCAGAGCTGTCAGATAAGAATACTGGCTAACATAATGAAATATCTGTCATATAGCCTCTATTCCCAAGACTCAGAGAATGTTGCCGAAGAAGAAGTGCAAAGACTGTAAGTGCCAGTGGTTGGGGGACTACTGCAAAATAGTATCTTCTTGACACAACCATTGAACTCACAAATTCACAATAGTTGTTGCCTGTGCAAGATCAAGCCAGTCACCATTCCAGCATGGGTAGGAGAGAGACTCACAAGCTTCCCCCACCCAGCTGAGGAGCTGTTGACAGCGCTACTAGATGAGGAATAATCACTTCTATTTAAGGATGGTTTGTTCACGCTCCAGTGGATGGCCCCGTACCCATGCATAGATGGGCAGCATTAATTGTATGAACTCTGTGGTATAAAAAGAGGACATAGGGCTCAGCAGCCCCTAACTGCCTATAACTTGAGCCTCTCGGCATCAGATGCCCCCTTCTGCCCTCTGCAGACACCGACATGCAATATACCCTATGCATATTTTTAATTGAAAAAAAAAAAAAGAGGATATGGGGCCTGGAGAGAAAGCCCAGCAGTTAAGAGCACTTGTTGCTCTTGCAGAGGACTCAGATTCTGTTCCCAGCATCCACATGGCTGCTCACAAGTATATAATTGTAGTTCCAGAGGCTATGACACTTCATCTGGCCTCTTTGGATACTGCATACACCTGGTACACATACCTGTATGCAGGCAGAAACACTTATACACCTAAAATAAAAGTAAGTATTCTTTAAAAATACAAAGGGGAAATGAGGTTGGGATTCCCTGGAGCTGGAGTTACAGGAAGTTGTGAGCCAGCTGGCATGGGTGCTAGCACAAGCAGTGTGTACTCTTAACCACTGCACTAACTCTCCAGCACCATATTACCTGTTTTTATTACCTTCCACAAATGTATAGCTAGCCTGGAGAAAAATACTGAAAACTATAGTTTACTTGTTTTGGTAAAGACCCATTTTCCAAATTGTTTTCTTTCTGTCATTCTAATAACTCCGTGTGACCTCTGCACTTCCACTACCTTGTCGTAACAAATTGTTGATATAAAAAAAAATCAGAGGTTTGCAGCTTTGTGAAAGGTAGAGAAACCCTGAGACTGTATGCCTGTCACTGCAGCTTAGACTGTTATCATTATGATTATACTCAGCCTCACCAGCCTCACCAAGGGTCTGCTGGGCTACTCAGGCCCTAGTGTTTTCCTGTACACATTATTGAATTGTCTAATTTTCTATAGTTACATTTTTGTGAGGTTACACTGAATTTATAGGTATTTACTGAGTCTCTATTTCTTCCCCCTAAGGCATCAAGTAGAAATCTCAGGTCAAATTTTTGTGGCAGTGCTTGCACAAATACATTACTATCACCTAAGGAAAAATAAGCATTTTTTAAGATATATTTTCATTAGTTCTTTGACAATTTCATATATGCATACAATGCATTTTCTTATTAATTCATCATTCTTAATAGACTGATGCAGCAGGGTCTATTTTCATAGGATTCTCTCTGTCCCTCATGGTCCCTGCACTGCACTTCTTCACCTGGAGCCCTGACATAGAAATGATGTCAAGGTGCCATGTGTAAGCTACTCAGTCCCACACACCTATTCACCTTCCTTGGAGCTGCTCATGCCCTGTAGGTAGAGTAACCTTTAGGTGTATGGTACCGACCCCTTTAAAATACCTCAGGGGAAGACACTGTGATGCATTATTGCCCCAGGACCACATCATCATTCTCTCAAGGAAGATTTGACATCACTACTCTGTCTGCTCAGGTGTGTTCTGTTTGGGCAAGTGCTTAGTGCCTGACCCAGCCACATCTGGTCAGGATTCCATATGTGCAGGGTTCCATTACTAAGCACATTCTTAATTATAATGCCCTGCAGTTTCACTAAATACAAAGTCAGCTGATTATGCGCTCTCTTGACCCTGAATCTGGCTTCCTTAGTATGGTTTATATCTTAGTCTATCCGGACCTAAAATTTATACCAACTTTTCTCTTTGGGGAAGAACATTTTATCTGGGGTATGTTTAACACACATACGTAATACACACACACTCCTAATTACATTTTTTTGTTTGTATGATAAGATACCTACCAGCTTAAGAGAGAAAGGGTTTATTTGGCTTACAATTTTGTGATACAGTCCAACACTGAGAAGTCAAGACAGGAACTTGAAGCAGCTAGTCCACAGGAAGAGCAAAGAGAATGTGAATGTGAGCATGTGCTCAGGTTGCTTTTTCTTTATTCCTACACTCAGGACCCAGCCCCACCTGGGTACCACTCACAGTGAGCTGGGATTTCCCTTATGAATTAACACAATAAAGAGACTCCTTCACAGACAGCCATAGGCTAACCTGATCTAGATAGTCTATTATTGAGACTCTCTTCCCAAGCCACTCTAGATTGTGTCAAGTTGACAATTAAAATCAACTGTCACATATATGCACATATGAATACATTTATATTCTATAATATGATGGTAATTGGTCAACCTATAATATATATGTGATGTTGTAATATATGATAGTAAATGCAAATTCAGTTTAGTATTGTTATCTTGGTCAACCTATAATATGTATGTGATGTTGTAATATATGATAGTAAATGCAAATGCAGTTTAGTATTGTTATCTGTGTCTAACATATTTGTATGTAGTTATTCTGTGTGCACGTGTTTTGGTGGAGATCAACCAGGGCCATAGGTAGGATAGGCCCTGAGCTACAATGAAATTTTTATATAATCACACAATTACAAAATATAATGTGAATCAGTCATTAATTTCCATCATGTGTACAAAAGTATGAACATTATTTAAAAATCATAGGGGTGTAGTTCAGTAGTAGAGCATTTGCCTAACATACTCAAGGCCCTGGACCTATCTGTAGCACTCCCCAACACACAAACACACACATACATATATTCAGAAGATAAATACACACAGTATATTCAAAACAGTATTTCTGGTGTTTCTCTAACAGAGGGTGGCTCCCACTTGATAGAAACGAAGACCTCATCGCCGCAAGGTGAGGCTAAGATGAGCATTACCAGCGACGAGGTGAACTTTCTGGTATATCGCTACCTCCAGGAATCAGGTAACAGCTTGTTTTTTCTGAAGGAAGTTCATTGGGCAGAATGGTTAACCACCAGTGCAAACCAGGCTATAGGATTATCAAAAATAACTAAGGACCCCCTTTGTAAGAGTATTAGGGATGAAAGAGTGGTTTGGGGGGCACTTCATTACTGGATTGGAATGTGGGAGAATGATCTTTCTCCTCATGATAGAGGTAAATCAAGTTGAAGTTACTATCAAGAGCAGTTGAGCCAGGCCTGATGACAAATGTGCCTTTAATCCTCACCCTTGGGAAACAAAGACAGATGGATCTCTGAGTTCAAGGCCAGCCCCGTCAACATAATGAGTGAGACATGGTCAAAATGTTGCTTCATGGTATATAGTTAGAAGACTAGGCCAAGTGGTAGTGGTACATGCCTTTAATTGCAGCACTCTGGAGGGAGAGCAGGTGGATCTCTGTAAGTTTGAGGCCAACCTGGTCTACATATTGTGTTGCAGGACAGGGCTGATGCACAAAGAAACCAGTCTCACAAAACAAAATAAAAAGACTAGACATATAAGTCTCCTATTGACAAAATAGGCCATGTGGGTAGTAGCAGCAGATGTGCTCAGAGAGAGCCTCATGTGGGACAAAATTCTATTTTGTCATGGTCAATGTGATTTCTGTAATGAGAGATTGTAGTTCTCAAGTAAATTATTTTTTAATTTAACAACTTTAAGATATTTAAGACCTACAAAACAATACTAATGGAAACCCATTCTGATATCTAGCCTGCAGCTTAAGCAACAAGCCACTGGGGGCCAATAGGTAACCCCTAATGTTCACTTCTCTAATAGAGAAGAGAAGTCTCTGGTGAAGTTGTTGGCAAGTGACTCCTGAGGGCTGTGTGGGGAGTCAGTTCCATGTCTCTCCTTACTTTGATGGCCTGTTGGCAATCTTTAGCATCCTCTGGTTTAAAGCTGCATTACCTTGGTCCTGATGTCTCAATGTATCCACATTTCCTTTTGCAAAGAAAAAGTCATATTGGTTCAGATCACTGGTTCTCAGGCTGTGGGTCATGACCCCAAATGGCCCTTTTACAGTGGTCGCCTACCTAAGACTATCAGAAAACACAGATATTTACATTATGATTCATAACAATGGCAAAATTACAGTTATGAAATACCAATGGAATAATTTTATGGTTGGGGGATTCACCACAGCATTAGGAACTATATTTCTATTTGTTTGTTTATTTATTTATTTTGTTTTTTCCGTGTAACAGTCTTAGCTGTCCTGGAACTAGCTCTTGTAGACCAGGCTGGCCTCGAACTCACAGATATCTGCCTGCCTCTGCCTCCAAATCCTGGGATTAAAGGAGTATGCCAACACCACCCAGTGAGGAACTGTATTAAAGGGCCACAGCATTAGCAAGGTTGAGAACCACTACTCTAGGGTCTCAGCACACTTGTGTTTAATAAATTATACCCACAATGAACCTATTTTCAAATGGTCACACTCTTGAGATATATTGTGTTCCCATCTTCCAGAGTTACATGTGTAGTTAGATTTCTTTTATACCTCAAGCAAAGCAAATTAAAGGGGAAGTAGTTTCTCTGTCTTCAGAAGCCTTAGTCCATTTTTGCTTTGGTTCCGGTGCTTTTAGGACTGTTTGTGGGAGAACATCGTGATGGGAGTATATGGCATGGCAAAGTAGCTTACTTCATGATGACCAGGAAGCAAAGAGAAAAAAAAATGGGAAGGATAGGGGAGTCACTAGTGCCCCCTTTAAATGTCACACCTGATGACCTGATTTCTCCCACTTCTTAAAGGCCCCATCACCACCCAGTTGTGCCACTGGTTGTCACTCTAACATTTAGCATATGGGCCTTTGGAGACACATCACAGCTAAACTATAGTACCCTTCTCAGTTATATAGTTAATTTCCCTTAAACCTATCTTAAGTTGAAAATGCAAGTCAGAGTACATTTAAGGGCTGAAGAGATGGTCCAGTAGGTAAAGTACTTGCTTTGCAAGGGTGTGGATCTGTGTTCCTTTCCCTAACACCCATGTAATAGCCAAGCTTTGCCATCAAAAGCTAGTTTTACTCACACATCAGCACCATTCTTTCTTTCTCCTGCATTTCCTATTCCCCCTGCCTGCTAACCCTCATTCAGAAGCTGAGCTTCCATTCTGCAGCCTCTTAGTGCACACAGTTCCATGTTCACATCTCCAGCCCACACCCCTCTCCCTACTTCTCTCTCACCTACCTCTGCTTCCCTCTTACTGCAGGTTTTTCCCACTCCGCCTTCACTTTTGGGATCGAAAGCCACATTAGCCAGTCCAACATCAATGGGACACTAGTGCCGCCGGCTGCCCTCATCTCCATTCTTCAGAAGGGACTGCAGTATGTGGAGGCGGAGATCAGTATCAATGAGGTATGTTCATTCCTGAGAATGTGACAGAGTTCCAGGACCCCCCACCCCCACCCCCCAGCAGATCTCTGGAGAATGTGTGGTTCTACTACATGGGTCTGGCATGCATTCTAAGGTACCTGGGAAAAAGTGGAGGCTACAGACAGGCCACTGCACCATCAGCAAGATTTGGGTGCCCCCTTGTGTAGGTTTGCAGAATCACAAGGTGTTGACCGCTGAAAACAACCAATTCATTCTTTTATCTACTTGGGCCCCGCATATGCATGGGCAGGCAAGCTCTCTTTCTGATTTTCCAGGGTACACTGGCCAAAGAGAGCTCACTGAATACTCATGAAGAGTCTGTATTTTGTGTGAAACTGACAGGGGACATAACCAAGGGGAAATTTGACCAGCAATATTTCTTGACACTCTACCCATTTCTCCTGTTCTTATATTTTCTCGCTGTCACAATCCTTTGATGTTCCCTGACTGAGTCTTGGAGTAAGTGATATAGATGTCTGATTTAGAGCTGCACATTCAGTGATCATTTATTTTCAGCACTTTTACCAGTGCAAGTTTCTATAGTGAGTATTACCCACTGCAAAGCTAAGAGCAGCACTAATCTATGATCTTAAACATAAATATTTAGAATTTGATAAGCACATCATGTCCATTTAGCAAAAGCATCACAGTACCTTCTCCAGCCACAGGCTTTTGGCCAGGTTTACAGTACCAGATACGAATTTTGACTTGTGAAGCAGGTCTCAAATCCAATCAGAAAACAGTTAACTACCCTTATAACAGTCGGGCCACTGTTGTAACAGTGGACACATCGTGCCTGGCAGGTTGGTGGTATAAAGCATGTGGGGTTCATAGCTGAGTAGCAATTCTTTCTCTGAAGTTTTCATAGTACCTTCTAGCCCTATGAAAGATACCCTATCCGTCTCAGTTCCCGCTTGATTTGTGTCTTGCTTCTTAAAGACCAGTAACTAGTTCTGGTGGGAAATGGACAGCAGTAGCAATAAATAGCCTGTATTATTTTGGTTTTTAGGGCCTACCAAACCAGCAACCTACAAAGAGTTAGCACACCTTTGGCAGCTTTTTAAAAATACTTTGGCTTCTTGGAGTAGCTTTAGCTATGCACGTAGGATACCTCAGCTCATACTTTGTTTTAACTTACAAAAGAGCAAGTTTCCTTATTACTGTTTCATACATACTTTGATTGACCTGCTTTACCACATACCACCTATCTCCTTCTCTCCACCTTTAGTCCACCCTTAGAAATATCTTGCCCAGGCTTTCTTTCTGTATTCTCTTTTAACTTTAAAAATTGTCCTTCAGAACACAAAAGTAATGTCTGATTTCTATTTCTCTCATCTTCCAAGAGGTTTCTGTTTATCTGTGGATAGATAATCTTCGTCACATTTCCAGGCATTAAAAAAAAAGAACCCCAAGAATATGTTTTAAATGTGGCAGTCTTGACAATGACCTCTTTTTTTAAATTCATCAGTTAATTTGTGTTTTATGTATATGTGTGTTTTGCCTATATCCATGTCTGTATACCACAGTGGGTTTCTGGTGTCTGCAACAGCCAGAAGGGACATGGGGTTGCCTGAAATGGACATTACAGATACTTGTGAGCTACCATGTGGGTGCTGGGACCTGAACCCAGGACATCTAGAAGAGCAGTTAGTGCTCTCACCGACTGAGACATCTCCCCAGTCACTTGTTTGCTGAGGCTCTCAATGAAAGAGGAAAGTAATATGGAAGGATCAAGACTGATCAGCCTGGGCCACTTAATGGCCAGAATCCAGGGCTAAGAGACTGATGGGTGATATTATACCATGTTGTATTATTTTCCTTATTTTTCACATTGTATTATAATTTAAAAACAAAAACAAACCGAAAAACCCACCAGGGGCGATGTGTTGTTTAGATGGTATTCAACCAAAACTTGTGCCTCTCCGTTTCTGGGATAATTGAAGTTCAGAGCATATGGGAACATGGTTTCTCATCCAGCAGACAGCCTGGAGTTATATGGAGATTCCTGATTCAAATACCTGCAATGTTACCTGAGGGAGGAACTTCTGTGTTTTTAAGGATGTGTGGAAATGTTTGTGTGATGGTAGGAACTACACAAAGTACAGTAAAACGTATGCATTAGGATCAAGTGAATCTGTTTTCTGGTGTATCGTGGTGCTTTTTCATCTCTATGCAGAGACCAGAGAGTCATTGTCGAGCACATCCAGTACTTATTAAATCAGATGGACTAGGAAGCCTATTGTGAGTAGTACAGTTAGTTGTCTTCATATTGGGCTCATTGCTCCTTCATTGTTAATGGTGGCCATTGTAGAGATGCTTACTCTGGTGGGAGCATCCAGTCAGGGTTCTGTGGCAGTAGTGCTCAGAGGAAGGATTTACAGTGCACCTTAGGATGGTGAGCAGCATGCCATGCTCTGCCCACTAGGTGGCAAGATAAACCCATGCTCCCACTGTTGCAATGACTGAAAATGGCTCACCTACACTGAGACATATCCTATAAGTAGGCAATCCTACCCTACTGGTTAAATAGTCATTGATGGTAGTAGGTTTTATCATAGGATAAAAGGAATACTGTTCAGATGTCCTTAATGCCAAAATTTGGCTTGACATCTTATCAAATCTCCACTAAGGATGATCTTCACTGCTAACTGTCTATGAACAGTCCTCCTCATCCACTTCCCTGTTCCTCTTTGCTCTCGAACCCTGTCCCACCACAAAAATTATTTGCACCTATTCCTAGCTCACGCCAACTTCTCTGGTCCATGTTAGCTGATGGGTAACCCTTGTCTTGCTTTCCTAGGATGGCACGGTATTTGATGGGCGTCCCATTGAGTCCCTATCGTTGATTGATGCTGTGATGCCTGATGTGGTACAGACAAGACAGCAAGCTTTTCGGGAGAAGCTCGCTCAGCAGCAAGCCAGTGCAGCGGCTGCAGCGGCGGCGGCTGCCGCAGCCACAGCTACAACCACAGCAGCCACAACACCAGCAGCTGCTGCCCAGCAGAACCCACCAAAGAATGGAGAAGCCACCGTGAATGGGGAAGAGAATGGAGCCCATGCAATGAGTAAGTGGAGAGTTATCTGACCTTCAAGAGACATGGTTGTGTTTTTGTTTTTCCTCGTGAATCTGTATATAGCTAAAGGAAACTTTAAAGTGCTGACCACTGCCAGTCTGTTAAATTGCTTTCTCATCTTTGCTTCTGATCTGTCCACAAGATCTCCATCTTCTACAACTTCATTCATATCCCTTGGTTTTAGAAAGTATTGCTCCTCTGTGAGTATCCACATTATAAGGGGGAGCTTCTTTTAGTCACCCAACATAAAAGTGTGACAGTTGTACTAACCTTCAATCCCAGCTTCCCACTGGTGTCCCATGCTAAGGGATAAATTGTGCTGTCAGAACAGGTAGGGTGATGTCTACATCAGCCCTGCACCTGGACAGAGCAGGGGTGAACACATGTCTTAATGCATACTGGCAACTCACAACAGAGAAGGTATGTTCTGTGTGCACCCACAGCTCTGGTGGCTGTTCATGGTGCTTCCTGAAGGCATACCCCCGCTGCCACCTACTGAGGTTTCTGATTTGCACACCGTTCCTTGGGCTTGGTGCACCTGGGGTGCAGACCACAAGATTCACGGTCTGCTTTTTGTGTTACTACTGCAAGGTAGCTTCTCCTTTCTGCTGCTACAGTGGCGGGCTATGTTCAGAGGGACAACATTCAGGAGTGGTTCTCTTTCTTCAACAAGGGTTTGGAGCAGTGCACTCAGGCCCATCAGTCCTCCAGGACTAGTACTCTGGTGGAGCCAAATCATTGGCCTTCTTGCATGATTCTCTTGAGAGTATCAGTGCGAGTTTGCTTTGTGTTCCTGTAATGACATATCTGAGGCAACTCGTTTAGAAGGAGAAAAGACTCAGGTCAGCTCACAGGCAATGCCTACACATGGCCGTGACCATGGTGAACGTGGAGGCAGAAACACAAGGTAGAAGAGCATCATGGGCGACAAAGAAGTCAGAGCATCCTAGAAATGGCTACTAGTGACTTTCCACTAGACACCACCTGCTGTTGTATTTACATGTGGACACCAAGTTTTCAGCACATGAACACTTTGGGAACAAATACACAACATATCACTCTCTAAACAGAAACACAGACTGTAGACCAAACTACAGAAATGTCCACTTTTGCAGTCATTCGATGTATTGTGATTTTGGTACATAAAAACAAAGTAGTTTTAAAACAGTAGTGTCTAAGGATGCAAATTTTTAGTGGGTTGGTGAGCCATGTATGTTTTCATGTTTGCTTGACAGATAATCATTCAAAACCAATGGAAATAGATGGGGAGGTTGAAATTCCATCAAGCAAAGCGACGGTCCTTCGAGGCCATGAGTCTGAGGTGTTCATTTGTGCCTGGAATCCTGTTAGTGACCTACTTGCTTCTGGGTAAGAATTTGGAACAGGAATGCACCTTGGTCTGGAGGATGTGAGAGGGCTTTCTGGCACAGTTTCTTGAGGAAAGCACACGTTTGTCGTATCTTCCTAATGTGTACAGACTGAGGAACAGGCTGTTTTGTGCACCTTCTACTATGGTGAAGCCAGTGGTTCAGCTGTTTCTCTGTGGGGTGGGGAGCAAGGCAGACACATCTCAAGTCAGTAAGCAGAAGAGGGGAATGAGGATGGAAATTGAGCAAGAGGGGTGGAGAAGACAGAGCACATGCTAATGATGTGAGACCTTGCACACATTAGTCCCATTTGAACCAGAACTTAATACTTCATGTTGGTTTTGCAGATCTGGAGACTCCACTGCAAGGATATGGAACCTGAATGAGAATAGCAACGGGGGCTCCACACAGCTCGTGCTAAGGCACTGTATACGTGAAGGTGGACACGACGTTCCCAGTAATAAGGATGTCACTTCACTGGACTGGAACGTAAGCAGCTTCTGCAGTTCATGTATTTAGATGATTACACAGCTACCCTCCTGATGAAGCATATGCAAACAGAAAGAAGCAGACAATTCTGTCTCAGCTCCCACCCTGGGTTGCTGGTATCAGGGGCTCATGATCAGGTCCTACTGGGCAGATAGCAGTCTGGGGATGGGAAATTCTTCCCATCATCGTGTGCATGTATTGCCTGTGAGACTTTTTCACACAGCTCCATGTGGAAAGGAGGCCCAGGAAAGTACCCAGATACTAATGTGCTTTGTCTTTTTTCTGTCCCCCAGAGCGATGGAACACTGTTGGCAACAGGTTCCTATGATGGTTTTGCAAGAATATGGACAGAAGATGGTAAGTTCCTCATCCCTCTTGTGTTAAGTAAGATGGACTTTATGAGTGAACAGTTGGTGACTGTGAAGTCATCATCTCTGTGTTTTCCCATCTCAGGTAACCTAGCCAGCACCTTAGGTCAGCATAAAGGCCCCATCTTTGCCTTGAAGTGGAACAAAAAGGGGAATTATATTTTGAGTGCTGGTGTAGATAAGGTGAGTGAGTATCAACTTTTAATGCACCCCTTTTAGCTATGGATCTGGATTTATTTTTAGCCTGTTAACTCATTTAGGTTCAGATTTCTGGTTTGATCTTACTGCTGACTTTGAACAAAACATCACCTCATAATACATTTACTTTCATTCAGAATGTGCTCTCAGCCCAGTGATAAAAAGAAGAAAAAAAATCTCCAAATGTTGTATTAATCTAGGTGGCAGTAAAATGGAGTTTATTAATCCAGGAAGCAGTTTCTGTGTTGACTTTCATCCACTAAACAGTTCGTAATCACAGACTCTTTTTCCTTCCCTTGGCTAAACCTTTCCTCACCTGATAAACCACTGCTTCCCATTACAGATGGCAGAATTCTCTGAGACCCAATACAGGATCATACTTCATAGAAACTCATGAGTCTGACTTAGAGTTTGATTTCTCAGTCCATACTTTGAATTTATGGCGGTTCCCCTGTTCCCCCAGTTTATAGAGTGATGGGGTATTGTTGAAGATGTTCATTCTTGTGGCACTCCTTTGGAACAATGTCCAAAGGATATGCAGGTGTGCCTTCTGAACTGTTACTTAATGGTTTTCTAGGTTTGAAAGCTGAGGGGAAATTCCCATCAGTTTTGGTAGATTTCCCACATATTGGTGAAGGCTACTGTGTACTAGTTACTTTCATTAATGTGACATTCACATTATTGAGTGTGAAACGCACAGTGTACATCATAGACTTAGGTCAGAAATACAGAAATGACAAGTGTATAAATATTTTACATTCTTGCATGTATAAATGATACCAGTTTGGCTATACACAGGGATAAAATAAAATATGTTGTTAAATTAATTTCTTAGAAGGAAAGGGGGCTGGTTGTGTTTTCTGTTACAAGACATTCTAGATAATTCTTTGAGAAGAATAGTAACTGACTTTTCCCTCTCTTTGCGGAGCACAGACAACGATAATTTGGGATGCCCACACAGGAGAAGCCAAACAACAGTTTCCTTTTCATTCAGGTAGGTTTGTTGTTGGGCTCTACAGAGGCAATCCCAAAAGTTTCTTCTTCTTCTTCCTCTTCTTCCTCTTCTTCCTCTTCTTCCTCTTCCTCCTCTTCCTCCTCTTCCTCCTCTTCCTCCTCTTCCTCCTCTTCCTCTTCTTCCTCTTCTTCCTCCTCCTCCTCCTCCTCCTCCTTTTTTTTATTTAAGCTTGAATAGTATTGTATAAGAGCAGAAACATGTCAAGAACCTTGGGACTAATGTGAAACAAAGTATTGGCAATAACAAAATTGGTGTTCTGGCCAAAAAATAACTGCTACCTCCCTTTTACACGTAACTGGGCCTGTCCCTGTGTTTTTTGTTTTTTTTTTTTGTTTTGTTTTTCTCTTTCATAAAAAGGTGGGGTCTCTGCAGAGGCATCTTAATGCTTGTAAATTGGAAGGAGAGTGTCTTTAAGGTCTATGAAAGATGGTTTTCATGGTTTATTTCAGTAGAGCAAATTCACACTGGAACTGGCATTCCTGATCACTAGACAAGACCCCTGGGTGATGCTTTTGTCTGCATTGCCAAACTCTGTATTCAGTTAATAAGGTGAATGTCCTCTCTTGCCCTGTAGCACCTGCCTTGGATGTGGACTGGCAAAACAACACTACCTTTGCCTCATGCAGCACAGACATGTGCATTCATGTGTGCAGGCTTAGCTGTGACCGCCCAGTCAAAACCTTCCAAGGACATACTGTAAGTAGCAGTTCTGATTCTCAGAGTTGGGAGTTGTAAAAGTGTGATGTAGAAGCCATCTTTTCAGTGAGTGCATTAAAAGTTAACTGCACAGGGGAGACCACTTGATCTACCATGCTTTGCTGCTTAGAGCCACAGTGCCTGCCCTGAGTGATGGAATTAACCCAGCTGAAGTGTCAGTGGTCCTGGGAATACCTCAGAGTGGCGTTCTGCTAGCCTCTGTTTTATCCTGAAGCTGTTTCTCTTCTGACTCCAGTCTGTTTCCCAGCTTTTAATAGGGGTACCCGTTTTATGTCTGATTTCTGTTTCCCTGCTTAGAATTTACTTCTCTCATACCCTTCCGCCTGGTTCCATAAATGATTCTCACTGATGCTGAGTGCTGTGAGCACTCCTAGTGCTCTCCCTATTTGGGTCCTGAAACTGTTACTTCCCAAGACTGTGTGCAGGTTCTAGAAGTTTGACTTGAGATGGAAAAGGACAGCAAGAAAGAAAGCTCTACTCCCAGGAAGGAAGAAGCATGGGGAGTTCCCATGGGGAATTGCAGATGGATCAGCTAGAGACAGACAGGTCATGTAGAGATCTGCCTGTGAGTTTTCTCTACAGCTACAGTTAGTTGGAGACATACACATTGTCACATTAGCCTTCTACGCTGCTCTGACCCACACCCTTCCTCTCCCCAGCTTCTTCCAATTTCACACCCTTCAAAACTTGGTGTTCTTACAAAGGGGATCAACCACAACATTTTGAAGTATGAAATTATTTAGAAAACAGTCTGGTGTGTGAAGCTGTTTGTTAGGACAAGACAGCTGGCTCGGAAGAGGGGGCAGTTAATGGCAGTAGTGTTCCCAAAACCCCTCTAAAGAGACCCCCCCCAGACAATAAATTCCACTATCTTTCCCTGTGCCCCTTGCTCTGTATGCTGTCCCTGTCTGTATGGTGGAGCTGCAGGTGGCCCTTTATATAACCACATCCCCTTCTTCTTTCTGTACCAGAAGCCTTTCTCCTCTAGTCTTGGGGTTTCTGGTACTCAGAAACAAAGAAAACCTGACAGTTTCCTTGTTGTATGGTCCCAAAATCCAGCTTGATGAACCAGTGGGTTTTAGTGGGGTTACTTACAGAAGTAGAAATGTCTCAAACAGCTGCACCATCAAAGATCACTTCAGTATGGGTGATAACCTGTGGAAAGCTGAAAACCTGGAGCTCAGTGTAACAACCATAGACCCTCCCTTTCTGTGTAGCCTGTCTTTGTTTCTTCTAGGCAGTTCAGCTGACCTCTGCTGCTTCCAAGGACCTATGTTTGTATGAGTGACTCAGCAGGTTTTTTTTTTTTTTTTTTTTTTTTTTTGCATGTATACATTCTTGTGATTGGAGTTGATGGGTTGGTGAATCTGGGTAGTTTTAGGGATTTCCTGGAGGTTTTTTGAGTTGTTCATTTCCTGTCTTAATGAGCTTCCCTGTAGTATTTCATCTTACTTACAACTCCCTGAAAACATCCGGTCTTAAGAAGTTTCCCTTCGAAGTGGAAGTTTTTAACCTCAGAGGAAAAATGGCTACACAACACAAATCCACAAGACAATGGATTTTATTTCTCAGTGCCTTTTCTTGACTGGGTCTAGTTTCCCTGTACGTAGGAATTGCTTGTATGTATCTTTGTGCATTTTGATGGCACCGAAACCTTTGTCTACCTTTACCTTCTATCCAACAAGTTACAGGTCTTTCAACAGAATGAAGAAGAGGAGCTGTTATATTAAAAGCACAGAAAGTGATGATCAAAGTTCACTTTTAAACACAAAACAGTTTTAACCCAGTGGTGGTAGTGCTGCACACCTTTAATCCCAGTACTCAGGAGACAGAGGTAGGCGGATCTCTTGAGTTCAAGGCTAGCCTGGTCTACAGAGTGAGTTTCAGTACAGCTAGGGCTACATGGAGAAGCCCTGTCTCAAAAAAGCCAAGTAATGAATGAATGAATCAAACAAACTAGCTTTAGCTCTGCTTGATGGTATATACCTGTAGTTCTAATTAATACTCAGAAGGATGACAAAATAGTTCCAGACCATCATGGGATACATAAGGAGCTCCTGGCTAGCCTATACTGCATCATGAGACTCTGTCTCAAGAAGCAATAAATGATTTAGTTAGCTGTGCTTGTTGTATGCAAATTCTTCATTTGGCTTTCTTAATAAGGAAATTTCCCCTAAAGAAATATGACTATGAGTATGGCTCTTCTTTTGTAATATATATCAATATTTTTTCATGAATGAAAAGCAAACTGAGGGAAGAATAATCATGTGGGTGTGATCTTGTGTTGTGGTCTTTGATATTCTGTGAACTCCTGAAAGTCCCTCTGCACTGCAGCGCTGGCAGCATGCTGCTGCCCCTGGTGGATGCCAGCCTTTCTACATAAAGGCTCTAATTTCTTTGTGAAATGCTGTGCTCTCTTGCAGAATGAGGTCAATGCTATCAAATGGGATCCTTCTGGAATGTTGCTAGCCTCCTGCTCTGATGACATGACATTAAAGGTAATGTTGGTTTCTAAAGGGATGAGGTGGTTAATCCTATGCAAACCTTTGTATGGCACACAGCCCTTTACACCTTCATCACCTGGACCATTACTTTGACATTGTCTTTTCTCCTTGATTTTCCTGGTTTCTAAACTAAATGTCTTGTTCTTCCATGGAGTTTTTGACATCTGGGGCATGGTTCCTAGTGAGAGATCTATCCTTCCTATGGCCTGTCCACCAGCATCCTTGTAGATTTAGCTTAAATGTGTGCTTTGGCACATCCTTACAGCCACCTGCTAATGTGCCTGGATGACTGCTTGCTGGCTTGTGAATATGTCCCAGACCTGTTGCCTAAGTGATACCTTAGGTGCACTAGAATGAATGGTACTGAGACATTCACAATTAGGGACACAGTATTAGCTCACACTGTTACTAATGCCTCTTCCAGATCTGGAGTATGAAGCAGGATATATGTGTCCATGACCTCCAAGCTCACAGCAAAGAGATATATACCATCAAGTGGAGTCCCACAGGACCAGGCACCAGCAACCCGAACTCTAACATCATGTTAGCAAGGTAAAGCAGGGTAACTTCACAGCTCTGTCTGCTTCCTGAGCACATCTTCACTCTCTGTTGCTTAGTGAGTAACTCAGCTGGGAAGACTCACTCACACTTAGAAATAGCAGGGTTGAATCCCTTCCACACTGAACAACATGGGAATTCACTGTGAAGGGGGCCAAGGACATGGAAGTATAACCTCCCTCAGTATCCATGGAGGTGGTTCTGGGGACCCCCCCCCTTTATGGGTACCAAAATCCATAGATGCTTACTTCCCTTTGCCTATAGCCTCTAAATGTATTCCCTGTACTTTAAATATCTCTAAATGGCCTCTATTACCCATACAATGATAATGCTGTAGGAGTAGACTGTGTAGTTTAGCTAACAGTGACCAACAAAAGGGTCTGCACATGTCTAATACAGTTTTTTATGGGTTTGGCTTGGTTTGTTTGAGATGGAGTCTCATTATGTAGCCCTGAGTACCTGGAACTTGCTGTGTACCACTTCCTCTGAGACACTAAAGTTACAGACCTTCACAATAATGCATTTTTCCCTTCCCCCTGAATGTTTTTTTATCCATAGTTATAAAATTATGAATGTGCAGGTATGGAGGGCTGGCTTACTAGAGTGAAAGTTTTTAAGGCAAAGAAAGGAAAATAAGAGTTTAGCTTGGAGCTCAAGTTTGTTCTTTTGAAGCTCCATTCAGGGCTGTGGTACTGGGATTTTGACTAGATATAAGTGATTCCCTGCTTTAGCCAAAGGTGACCCAGATCTCTTAATATTGGAACTGCTGAATAGCCAAGGCCTAGAAGCAAGGGGCCAGAGGTACCTCATCCAAACCAAGTCACTTTGGACTTTAGACAGCAGAACTGTTGTATCCTGATGCATGTTAGAGTCCAGGAAACATAACAATCCATTCTTGGGCTTTTGGTGCAGGGATGGAAGCTCTTGCCTTGTGCATGCTGGGTAAGTAGTGTACCACGGAATACACCCCATCCCTCCTCTTGGTAGTGAGAGCATTTAGACAGATGAACTAAGGCCATTATGAGCTAGAATCCAGGACTTTTAGAATGATCTGGAAACCATGATAATGGATCTTAGGGGTTTGAATTCATATACTTAGTCTGGACAAGACCAGACCCCCAAAGGAAAGTTTGGTTTCTAAGGAGCAATGGGAAGCTTGGTCTGTGTTGTTCCAGAGGCTTGAGGAGGAAGTGACAATAGGTAGTTCTTCTATAAGGTAGTAGTCGAGTGAGCAGTCTTTCCTGGCAGTGAGAACAGCTTTGTAGTAAGTGTTCAACCAAAGACTGTCTCCAAGAATAGATGGTGACACTTGGCTATACCTCAGTGGTAGATCACTTGATTGGAATACACATCATCACCAAAAACTCAGCCCAAAAGAAACTTAAGCCACACACACACAAATATTACAAAGACTGAGTGACTGAACTAGAAGATCCCCAAGGTCTTAATTCTCCTTTTTCAATAATTATCCAAAAACCCACTTGCATATCAGTGATGTAATACTACATGTAGCGGTCATTTTTAATGACTAGGGAGATGCTTCTTTCTATCACATAATACATATCAGGAACAAATATATTATCCTGTTAAAAGAACAAAAGGACACACTGAACCTTGTGAGACCATTGGAGATACAGAAAGCCAGGTGGTAACAGCTATGTGATATGTAGTGTTTTATAAATCTGAAAATAATTAAACTCTGTAGCCCTTGCCACTGTGGTTGTATATGCACATGTGGGTTTAGATTTTCTTATGTGTAAGTGTATCTTTACTCAGCTTTTAAATTTTTTTTCTAGTCCTATCTGGCTGGATTTGTAGTTGTTCAAGCAGGTATATTATAAGCACTGATGGTGTTTTAGAAAGGTTAGTTGAGTAGTACACAAAAACATTTTGTGTTCAGAGGTGAGGGAACTAGAGAAAGAAATGAACACAGTGGCTAAGTGGGAAAGTACCTATCTATAGGCTTGGACAATGTCCTGGGTTCTGTTTGGCGGCAGCTTCACTTTTCTCTGGAGAGAAAAGGCTCACTAGAATGTTCTCTTGAAGCAAATTCAAGTATGTTTCAAATATTGCTAATAGGCAGTTCGCATGAGATACATCATAAAGATCTTGAAAGCCAACCCATTTCTGTGGTTGTGTTCCCTGCCGTCTTCCTAGTGCTTCATTTGATTCTACGGTTCGACTGTGGGATGTGGAGCGAGGCGTTTGCATCCACACACTGACCAAGCATCAGGAGCCCGTCTACAGTGTGGCGTTCAGCCCTGATGGGAAATATTTGGCCAGTGGATCCTTTGACAAGTGTGTCCATATCTGGAATACGCAGGTAATGTCTTGACTTCCTGTGGCCAAATCCTTCCTGAAAGGTATATATATTTTCAGTTCCTGGGCTGGCAAGAGGGCTGGGGGAATGAAGTTATTCAGGAGTGAGTAGAGCGAGCCTTCCCATGGAGATCACAGATTCTGTGTAGTCTTCTTTGTGTTCCCCAATGATGTAGGGTTTTCCCTACGTACAAGCCTGGAGTCCTTTGGACTCTTTCCATCTGACTTCCAGCCAGAACATTTAGCTTGTCACCTCAGGAGCATTCTCTCTTGGAGTAACCGCTGTCTTCAGCTGTCTTATCCTGGCAGGGACCTACTTCGTGTTAGAGAAAAAGCATGACCTAGTTTTGTCACCTTAGAAATGCTGCTGTTTGTGGGAAGCCCCTGTAGGTGGCCTTTATAAAACCTTCCCAGGGAGACACTGCAGGACAACCAACTTTATCTTCTTCCTGTCCACTGTGGAACAACTCAGAGATAAAGGAATATGAGGTTTGGAGTTTTAACATTTGAAAGTATTACTTGTTTAATACAGGATCTTTGAATACTAGATTGTCATTTCAGCAGGAACTGAAAAAGGAAGGAGTTGGAATCAGTATAGCAACTGGATATCTCTGGCCTGACAGAGATGAGAGAATTCTGATTATTGAGCAGAAGTGGATGAAAACTAGTGGGGTAGAATGGGTGGAAGTATTACACTGGGCAGTTCTTGGTTTTCTTTTTGGGAATCCAACATGTAGAGCCTTGGAGGTGGCTGGCAATCGTTCTTCCCTGTGCTATGTCTAAACCCTTGGTCATCCCAATTGAAAAGTAGTTAGGGTAAGTTACTGAGAAGAAAGAGCCAATTTGTTAGACTTGAGGAGAATTCAATGCCCCACCTTTTCATTCCTTTTTGGTTGGTTGACATTTAGAAGGATATGAATTTTTAAGTTTATGCCCCTTTGTGGCAGGGGAAGCAGTAAATAAGCCATGTTCTAGCATTCCACAGACATTTCAAGGACATACCCCAAAAGTTAGCAGCATGTTTCCAGGTATGCCCATAGATGCCTGTCACCTGCATGAGCTGTATTATCAAGAAGCAAAACAGAACAAAAGGTAGAAACGTGTGCAGGAATAACATCCTCATACAGAGAAAACAGATTTTGCTAGTGATAGCTCACTTTGAAAGTGCCAGCAAGATGAAAATGCAGGTGCTCCTTAATATCTTTGAGAGATAGCTTATCCCCCCCCCCCCCAGGGATACCAGAATTTGTGTAGCCCAGTACACTTGTATAAGACGGTGTGGTATGGTATGTGTGTAGAGCTGATGCACATATACATTTACTAGGTACAATATGACATGAATATTATAGGAATAGTTGTTAGACTTTTTGGTTTTTCTTATTCTCTCCCCTCCCTCCCTCCCCCCCCCCCCCCCCCCCTCCCTCCCTCCCTCCCTCCTCTCTCCTCCCTCTTCTCTCCTCCCCTCCCCTCCCTCTTTTGCTTTGCTTTCCTTTTTTTTCCTTATTTAATACTAGGGATTGGATCCAGGGTCCTAAAACTCACCCACTGTACAGCCCAGGTTGGCTTTAAACTGAAACCTCCTCCCCCAGCCTCTGGAGTAGCTAGGATTGCATGCTGGCTTATTATATTGTAGGATTTTGAGGGGCTGGGGTGGGAGGTAATGGTGAAATGGACCAATGGTATTAGGTTCATATTGAAGGGAGCCAGGGAGTTAATTATTTTGAGACATTTTAGAACCCACATTAATTCTCTTATTATAAACATATATAATACTGTTGGCTTTCTGTTGTCCACAGCCACAATGTTTACTACCCTTTATTTTTCTGTGTAAACTGAAACTAATATTAATTTCAATGCATTTTTTATTATGTTTTGCTACTACTTGCTGTAGCTTGATAATGGTAAATACATACATATATATTATAATGAATAAATATGTGTGTGGCATCGATACGTTATTTTTGTGGATAAGAACTAATGAATAGTTGGTGACCGCTGGGGTTAGTGACTGTATACGTCTTAGTTCACTGAAGGAATACAGCTGATAGAATGAAGCTGTACCAAAGAGGGATTTGTTAGGCCATGGTCTGGCTTAGTCAAAGAATAGCTGTCTGATCAAAAAGGAACGGCCAAGAATCAATTTGGTAGTTGATCAGGCCACTAGGCTGGATGTTTCAGCTGGTCTTCAGTCTACATTAGAATTCTGAAGACATAGGCTCTATTACCAGCCAAATAATGACATAGCAGCAGGATAGATAAACTTGCCAGTGAGGACAAGGAAGCCAACAGCAAAAGCTTACGTCTTCATGTCTTTTTATGTGGGCTGCCTCCAGAAAGTGTGGCCCAGATTTAGGGTAGGTCTTTCCACTTCAAATGATCCAATCAGGAAATTGTTTCACAGGCATATCCCTGATGCTTGGGTTTTAGTTGATTCCAGACATAGTCAAGTGGACAACCAAGATTAGCTCTCTCATACATGCTTTATAAAGATAAGCTGAACTGGCTTAGGCAAGTCTAGAGAAACCTTGACTCCCATATCTCATGACATACGTCAAGCCAACCACTACAAATACCACAGCACAAATGTATGTATTCATCCTTCCAAACTACATATTCAAACTGATGGGAAGTTTTAAGTTCATGATATGCTAATGCATCTAATTGTTGGTAGGCTGGGGGTGTGCTCACGCAAGTGCTCTGAGGAGGAGACAGATAATCAGAACAGAAACTAGGTAGGGACTGGAGTAGGTAGAAAGACCTCAGCCCAGAGGACTGACCCAAGCTCTAGGAAGGATACAAGAAAGGATGGCTTAATAAGAGGATGCTCGGGTAGCTATAGAAGCTAAATAACGACTTAGCAAAGCCACTGGGGAAAGCAGGGAATGTGGTTTAGTGATAGAACTCATGCCTATCACCCTGATGCCCCAGTTTTCAAATCCAGCCCTGAATGGTGGGAAAAGGTCAAGAGGAGGTCATGAGTTAAAGCTCCCCCTCTGGTAGGTATGCATCATTTCTTGTGCTCCCAAGTGCCATGAGACATTGCTGGGCATAGTCATGACTAGCTGAAATGTGGTGGCAGTTCTGTGGGTAACAATAGATTGGTGTTTATGGAAATCCCTTAACTTTTGTGTTCTTGAACGCTTACTGATCAAATAGAGGTTTATGGAGGAAGAGTGCCCCCTTTTACTACTGTCATTTTGGGGACCTCTTCTGAGTTATCATGACAAATGCTTTGCTTTTCAGAGTGGAGGTCTCGTCCACAGCTACCGAGGCACAGGCGGCATATTTGAGGTGTGCTGGAATGCTCGAGGAGACAAAGTGGGTGCCAGTGCTTCGGATGGCTCTGTAAGTGGCACCTCTGGTCTACTGGGAGTTAGGGGTACAGGGCAGCTGATCCCCTGATCCAGCACTAGATGCTTCCAAAGACCTTGTAAGGCTTCTCTGTCCTGTTGTGCCTTAGCACCTAACAGGTGCTTGGTTACCACATACTATGTGCACGTGCAGGCATGTCTATGGGAAGGAGGCTTCTCTTTGGGTTGAAAATAGCCTTGTCTTTGCCCCAGAATGTCAGTGAACTTGATTATTTTTAGCTGCAGTGACTCTACACACATGTGTGTACCCTAGGATATTAAGGCATATCTGGAGTCATACTAGGTTGTCACTACTTTGGTGCAGGGTGCTATTTACTGGTGGAGTCAAAGGATGCTGGTAAGTCTCTTACAATGCTCTAGATGCCCCACTTTGGCCAAGAAATATCTGGCCACAAATATCATTAGTATATAGGCTGAGAAACTTGTTCCTATTCTGTTGCCATGTGTATGTTCTGGCCAAACATCATCATGACAAGCCATAGCTTTCATCAGATAGGCCTCCTGGTTTCTGTGGATCTTATTGTGGTCCATTAGCATGTGTAATTTTTAATTTGCCTCTGAACTTGAGGTTGCAATAACTCTAGGATGAGGTGCAATTCTGACTGATGGACCAAGTTATTAGTGTGGCCTGAAATCTGTTGTTATCTGCTCCACTATGTAGGCATCCTATTTGTGACCCCTGCTGATTACCTTAGGCACTGTGAGTTCTGGAATGGTCCATGACTTGATTTTTCCTTTCCCTGCTCTTTGCTAGAGTTTGGTTGTTCTGATGTTCAGAAACTAGCCCCTAGGGTTTCTCTTTTTGAGTCTTCCATTATAAAAACTTTATAAGCATGAAGTTGGTAGCTAAACTGTACCTTGCCAGCATTTGATTGAAGGCACCTGATATTATCTCTTAAAGTAACGGACACTTTATCTTTCCTTCCAGGTCTGTGTTTTAGATCTCCGAAAGTAAACACAAAATGTAGAAAACCATTCTAATGGACCAGCAGTGAATGTGTGGGATTGCAGCATCCTTCCTATGATGGGCTCTAAACTGTGTGAACTTGACTTGTTCGAGTCTACTTGGAAATCACCTGTCCCTGGCCACAGGATTCTTCCCCCCACCCCACCCCTAATCTACATCCAGAAGTTTAAAACAAGCAAATACAAAGTCATACACATGGTTGTATCACAGGAATATGGTTTCCACCTAAAATGTTCAGCTGGGGAAGGATGAAGCCATCAGCTACATGATGCATGGTTTGGTTTCCATCCAGAACAGGCTCTAATGACTGAACAGGGAAGGAAGAACATAAAGCTGTGCCAAAAAATAAAAGGTTTAAAAAAAAAGAAAAACAAAAAAAAATTACAAAAACAAAACAGAAAAATGCTGTGATAAACCAAAAGGGAGGAAAAACCTGTCCCTTATGGTATTTCCCTCCTATTAATTTGGATACTACAGTTGCTCTCCAAAAGACCAGTTTGTACCAATGAAACGTGTGACTTTGTAATCCCAACGCTGTATTTTCTAGAACCTTCTTTGGTGGTTTTTCTATCTGCTAAAATTCTGTGGTCTGGGGGCCTCCCACCTCAGATAGATACTGTTTTTGGCTTATTCTTTCTGTCCTCCCTTGTTGTTCCCCACTCCTTCCTCTGATGTCCTTGCTCTGGTGTGGTCTCACTTTTAATGAAATCCTACATAGATATGGCCACATGCACACAACGGATCTTTGATGGACAGCACTCTCCTTCCCTCTCTCATCCTACCCCTTCCCATCGCTTACTCTCTGTCCCTTTCTCATAGTTGCTTCACATTAGGTCCCAAAGGCACTTTCAGAGCATAGTAAGTGCTTTATGTAAGAAGGCAGGGAGGGGGACTTTTTACAGAAAAAAAAAAGACTTATAAGAGAAAGAACCTGGAGTATTTTTTGAAAAAAATATTTTTATGTTAAAATGACTTTAAAATCCTAAAATGGCCATCAGACATAGAGAGTTTTGTGAAATTCATATTTAAGAGACTAAGAAGACACTGGCAGAGTCTGAGGTGTCTAATTACCCCTTTCCCTTCAGCTTCATGAAAGGCAGTTAGGAAAACCGTGGATTGGGAAGCGTCCTATGGAAGAACAAGGGAATTGTTTTGGCAGCTGGTGGGGAAGAGCCCCACCAGTTCGGCACCAAGCGGAATGCTGAACTGTTCGATGCACATTTACTTCAGCAGCCAATAGTAAGACAGTGAAGAAGCCACCCTGACCCACAGTGTGGCTCCATGGCACCTGCCAGCTACTTTCTCACAGCAGTGTAGCTACAGACGGGCACTTTAGCAAGAGCGTGCTTGGTGAATCTTGCAAAACCGACCCAAGGGCCTCAGTGCCACTCAGTCTTGTGAAGACAATGAGTATCAAGGGAGACTTTGAATCCTAAAAATGAATTATGACCCAGATAGAATGTCATAAATCATTTCTGCCCACTTTACAATTTCTCTTACAGAAGATTAGGACAAAGCTTTAAAAAAAATGAGGAAAAGGAAGAAGTTTTTTGGTTTCTTTTTTTTTTTTTTAAACAAGGAGTTGTGTGCCTGGTAAAGTTGCCATCATTGAGTCAGGTGACCTCGGTTTTGTCATAACTTGATACAGACTTGGTTTTTTTGTTTTTTAATTAGTAAAGGGGGATAGGTAGACCAGAAGGGGGCTGGGCCAAGTCAGTGGGGCTGCAAATGGCAGTATACAGGGTCCAGTCTACAGCTGAGGCAAAGTTGTTACTTAGAGGAAAGTATCCATATATGGAGCCAAAAATCAACCAGCAGGAAGGTGAGGCGCTTCCTCCACAACAAACAAATGTAAGACCAAGAATGTGAATTGGCCTCTGCTTTCACATGTAAATTATGTGAGCCCTCGTATGCAAGTGTTGTGTTACTGAGTTGAGCTGTGTGTTTGGACTCTGGCACCTAAACACTTAGCAAAGAAAGCCTGAGTTCCGTGGGGAATTTGATTATAGCAGGTGTCTCTGTGGATATGATGTTTCCTGCCCTGAGACTGCTTTAGCTTTAGGATATAATTTTGGAAGTCCACTTAAAACCCATCTTTTTTCCCCAAATTTCTGTTCATCTCTATAGAAGATCAGCTGTTAAAATTCAGCTTATTGTAGGGACATGGCTGTCATTTGACAGTTTCACATTGCTAAACGATGGTGATGGGTAAATGGCACATAAGGGGTTCATCAGACAATCTCTGGGTGTCCAGGCTACACCCACCCAGATGAATCTGAGCCACATAAGAATTACTGTTTTGGAGTCAATGGCTGTGAGACTAGGACAAAAAGGTTCAATCTACACAAGAAGAAACCTAGAGACCATTTATTTCCCTGGCCTTGCAGTAGAACATGGACAGGAATTTAGTGCTGGCCACAAGGGGACCAAGCAGAAGAATGCAGCCCACACCCCTGAAGTCCATCCCCATAAAACAGTTAAATCTACAGCTGTTTCTGAAGCAGCCAGCATTTGGACACCATCATTTGCCCTGCTGTCACAGGGCACGTGCATCATCTTTGTGGTGAAGGGGTGGCCCGTGTGTAATGCTTGTTACCTAGCATTGTTTATAACGCCTAAAACATTGTGAGGAATGGTTAAAGTCTTGTGACCAAATTCAACCTTGAAAGCAGTGTAGTGACATAGCAGCCTTTACAGGTATTTTTCCTTGAGTTTGAAGTAACCACACACCATTCCCAGCAATCAGGATGCTGCCTGTAGAGGACCGAAGGGCCAGATGGACACTACAAGGTTCAACTCTCTGACCCCACTCAACACCATAGGACTTGACTTTTTGTTCTGTCTAACTAAGAAATAGATCATGGAGCCAAGTGAAGTGCACTTTGTCACATGTAAGGATCTGCTTTGTTCCTTGTTGCTTTTCCCTTTTCAAACTTTTCGTTCTACCTTTGCATTCTGTTTCTTGTCAAATGCATAGATGTTTGTTCCGCAGCTCACTGAAGTTTTGAATTCTGGCTTGTGCAGTTTTTATTGTCTGTGTCAGACGTACAGCCAGACATGGTCCTCTTTCCGCATCTTCCACATTCTGTTAAGCACCATCAAAACTCCCCTCCCCTTCTGTCCTCTATTCCCCCACTCCCACTCACCCCTCACGCTCTTCAAGAAGAAAAAAGAATCACCTTGTGTGTTGTAGCTCATTTGTTTCAAGAGAGAATCAACAGATCATATTCAGTGTCTTGAATAAATTGCTCTATTTTGATATTAGAGAACATAGTGACTGTGTTTTCTTTTTGTTCATTTCGTCTTGCCTGGTATCTCTGACATCTGACAAATGAAAGAACAATGTGAATAGCTTTTCTTGTTTCTGTGGCAGGATACCCGACAAAACAGTTTTAGAAAGGAAAGATTTGTTTTGGCTCTTGGAGAAGGCACAGTCCATCGTGATAGAGAGGTTGTGGTGGTCTTGGGCCTCATCCGTGGTGGAAAGACTATGAGGTGGTATGCTTATCTACCCATAGATCAGTAAGTGACACAAGCACCATAGCTAAATCAGCTACCAAGGCCTCTCAACCTCCCAAATGTGAGGCCATCATAGAAAGGGGGAAGCTCAAAGCCCCACCCCATGGTTAGGGAGATATTTGAAGCTCACTCAAATAAGGGTGAAGATCGAGGACACTTTTTGGACCAGATGAATAGGTGTGAAACCCCCATGGGTTGCTCCAGTGGGAAAGTGTCAAGCAAAGTAGGGTAGAGCAGGAAGTTTCCAGGTCCTCTTGGGCTAAAGGATACCTTGTGCAGTAGAGGGACACTGAGTAGTTGATTTTGTCTAGGGACCCCCGGGACTCACTCCCCATGTTCCTAACAGTCCAAAATGGCCATATCTTTGGCCAGAATGATCTGAAGTTATTTTTGTCATAGGTGCTGACTACATAGGTCATGGTGGGAAGATGTAAGATTCTTTTAGTTAAAAGAATAGTGGTCGGGCTGGAGAGATGGCTCAGCGATTAAGAGCATTGCCTGCTAATCCAAAGGTCCTGAGTTCAATTCCCAGCAACCACGTGGTGGCTCACAACCATCTGTAATGAGGTCTGGTGCCCTCTTCTGGCACACAGAATATTGTATGCATAATAAATAAATATTTAAAAAAAAAGAATAGTGGTCTTAGTCCCCCTGGATATGAGAGAATGGTCTGAGGCCCCATGGAATACTGGGCAAGATCTGATGCTCCCTGAATCAGAGGGACACATCGTATGTCCTCTTGGGAAATAAGGGAAAATTCCCCTTGGTCAGAGAAAGTTTTTATATCCTCTTAGTAGAGGGAGTGTCTTGAGATCACCTTGTTAAAGAGGAAGAAAGTCTATTCTGAACCAGGGATAGTTCTAGTGACACCTTTATCAGATGAGGAATGTGTATCTCTTGAGAAGAGGTTGGCTTGGACACAACCTTGTCAAAAAAGAAGTTCTGAGAACTAAATGGGGATATTTTGAATTTCTCTAGCCAGAGGGGCAAAATCCCTAGCTGAGTTGGCCCAATAGAAAGATCTAGTTCCCTAATTCTTGGACAGATGAAGGTCCCAGTTTACCTTGTACAGTAGAGAAAGGTCCCAGCATTACCACATTAGCTTCCAGCACTTCCCAGTTCCAAATACCCATACATGTCATGGAATCTTTAGACCAAAGAACAATCAGAACATGGTTTTAACACAATGAATGGTTGTCCCAACTTGTTGATGTTCCAAGAGTTCTGTTGTTCAGGTCTATGAATGAAAGATGAAAACATTTCATTTCTTTTGTTTTTTTTTGGGGGGGGGCGGTTTCTGTGTAGTTTTGGATCCTGTCCTGGAACTTGCGCTGTAGACCAGGCTGGCCTCGAGTTCACAAAGATCACCTGCTTCTGCCTCCCAAGTGCTGGGATTAAAGGCGTGCGCCACCACCACCTGGTCATTTTCTAATGACCACCTTGAAGGCCGATGGCCAGGTTTGTTCAACTTTGTGATCTAAACTAAGAATGTCTGAGGTGCCATGGGTCTCAAGAATATTTGCCTAGCTATCTTGCTGAGACAGGGATGCTTTAAGGCCATCTTCGTTAGAACAGAATAGGTATGAGTCACAGACAGAGGATCTTTTAAAGCCTCCATTGTCAGAGGGGTAGGCTTGAAGCCCACTGAACAGAGAATATAGGTCTGAGGCCCCTTGTTCACAGGGTCCCTTTACCAGAATGGCATGTTCCAGACCACCTTGAGCAAAAATGGAATGTCTTACGTTCTCTTAGTCAAAGTGGAAAGATCATAGCCCCACCTCTGTTCTCTTGTGCAGAGGGAATGGTTTAAGTTTACCTTGGTCTGAAGTCTACTCGATAAAGTGTGAGACTTCTTTACACAAAATGAATGTTTAAGACACCCTTGGACAAATAGCTAAGGTCTGAGACAGACTTTCTATTAAGTGAGAAGGAGTAAGAGCCCTTGGGAATAGAGGAAACACCAAGATCCTCTTGTGAGGATATTCTGCAGCTGAATTGGGCAAAGGTGAAGGTCTGAACCCTTGGGCAGAAAGGGAAAGTCCCATACAGCCTTGGAAGGAAGGGAAATGGAATGTTCCCTCTATCTTGTACCATGGAGTAAGTTCCCAGCACTGATTCAGCATGCTCCAACTCTTCAGTTTAGAATATTCACCAAGAGTAGACCATTTGCTAGTCTCAGCATTCTTCAAGCAAGTTATATGTCTGTCCCAGGCTAGAATGCCTCCTCTAGTTTGTGTTCATCTGTCCAGCTATGGGCAGGCCATTCCACTTCTTATGACTGGCTTAAAGGCAGGTAACTGGGGTTCCAGACTCTTGGTTATAGAGTCTAGACTCTAGGCTTGTTCAGAGAGAGAATTTCTCACAGTCCTGTTGTAATAAGGCCACTTCATTTCCCCAGCTGCCCAGACTCCCAAAATAACCACACGAAAGTATATTAATTAAATCACATCTAGAATTAACCCATCTCCAGTATTTTAAATTTTACCATGAAGCTCGTGGCCTACAGACAAGGTTTCATCATATCTGTCTCTGGCAGTGGCTCCATGGCTTCTCCCTGACTCCTCCTTTCTTCAAGCATTCAGTTTAGTTTTCCCTGCCTAGTTCTGTTCTACTAAGCCACTGGACAATACAAATTCTTTATTAACCAATGGTATTCACAGCATACAGAGGGGAATCCCACATCACGGCCTCATTGTCAGAACTATAAGGTGGGAGACCTCCTTGGTCAGTAAGGGGAAAGTGTTAGGCATAATAGAACAGAGAAGGAAGGTGAGTGTCTTTGGAGAAAGTGAGTGTCTCAGGGTAAATTGCACGATGTAGAAAGGGTCAGGCACTCCCTCACCAGTTTACAAATCTTTGGGAACTCCATTGCAGGACTAGCAGCAATTTGAGCATTCTTGTAACAAGCTCAATGGCAGTCCTTTTTTCCATGTTCCCCTTAAGTTCACATTCAGCTGTATGAGTGTTGCCATGAAAGATGTGGTCTCTCCACTTCCCATGACCAATTTGAATGTAGATGGCAAAGTTCTATGCTAAGCATTTTACTTTTCTGCCACTTCAATCCAGAGTTCTCTGAGGTCCCTTTGGGCACAGGTGTATTTATTTGCCTGGCCACCTAGTTCAGGGGTGGAAAATTTAAGGCCCTCTTAGTTGAAGAGGTAGATACGAGGCACTCATAAACAGAAGGCTCTAAGCTTCCTTGGTCATGTGGGAGATACCTGGGGCACTCTTGATCAGAGTGTGATGGTCTGAGATCCCTTTGGTCACTGGGCCAGGACAGTAGCCCACATCATTAAAGGGGAATATCTTAGGTCCCCTTTCTGCAGAAAGGGAATGTCTGAAGTCTCCTTGATTAAAGGAGAGAGTCCATAGATTTCCCTTAGGCAAAACATGAAAGTGGTAGGTTCACATGGTTAGAAGTAGTAGATTTAAGGTCCCTTTTGGCAGTGGGAAAGGTCTAAAGCCCTCTTAGTTAATAGATCTGAAGACCTCTTGTGCATAAGTGGTAACTCCAACACTCTTTCAGAGTCCCTTGGTAAGAGCAGCTAGGTCTCAAGTTCTCTTGTGTAGTAGTGGGGGTTCTAAGACCCCCGTTGTGAAAGAAACTCACAAGAGGTTTGTGGTCCTCTCATTAAGAGAGAATGTTTGAGGCCTGCTTGAGGAGAGTAAAATATTCTGAGACCAACTTGGTTAAAGGGGGCCATATTTGAGGCCATGTAGGCCCGTAGGTGAGGTTCTGAGGTCCTCTTGCATACAGGTGGAATGTATGAGGCTCCTTTGGTTAGTTGTATCAGATCCAAGACCCTGTTAAGTAGAAGGAGTGAGTCACAGGCTCCCTTGATCAGACTGATTAGCTGTCTTGGCCTCTTGATCCTTGGTAGCATATCTAATGCTTTCTTGGCAGAAGTCAAAGATCTGAATCCCCCAAGTTCTGAAAGTATAGGTCCGAGGTCTTTTTGATCCACTGAAGAAGGTTCGAGGCCTTCTTGGATGGAAATAGGTCTGATTCACCATCTACCAAAAGTGGAAGATCTAACGCCCTCCTTGATCAGATGGGGCATGTCTGAGGCCGCTTTGGGAACAATGGAAAAGTCTGAGGACTTGGCATAGAAGGAGAAGAACTAAAGCTCCTTTCGTAAGAGAGAATAGGTAACAGACACCCTCTCTTAAATAGGACCCATGCAAATCCCCACTGGACAGAGTGAGAAAATCTGAGGCCTTTTTAGGCAGAAGAGGGTAGTCTGAGACCTCTGAGGACAGAGGGTGAAGGTCTGATCCATCTGTGGTCAGAGGGAAAATTTCTGAGTGCCCTCCCCTTGGTTACAAAGAGCATATCTGAGGCCAAGTTTATTAGAAGGGGCAAGTCGAAGGCTGCCTTGTCCAAGGTGGGAAAATCTGAGGTCCCTTTGATTAAAGGGCTTATGTCTGATGCCACCTTCATTAGAGTAAGAAAGCCGAAGGCCCTGTTGATAGGAAGGAAAAGATATTAAGGCTCCTTAGGGACAGCAGATAGGTTTCCATGGAAGTCCTTTGAAGTCTACATTGGAAAATGTAGGGATATTTATGGTCTCCAATGGGAGAAGGGGCAGGCCTGAGGCCCCCCCCCCCGTTTGTTATGGGAGGGATTGGTACTCCCTAGGGGAGAGAGCAGATCTCAGCACCTTAGTCCTCCTTGGATAGAAAGGGAAGATGCTGTTTTAGCTTGGTGCGGAGCATACCCTGTTGGATGGAAGTTCGATATTTGTGTCTCTCTT